ATTAGGGGACCCTCCCACCAGGTTTCCATATACACTATTTAATGATGGTTGGATGGATGACTGTATTTTCTGTATAGCTGTTCTCCTGATAAGAACACCCAAGCCACATGAGGCTTTTAAATGGTGGGTGGAGCTCCCTGCTGGGGCATTTTCTCTGGTAACCTGTCTCCTTTCCCCCACAATCAGGTGAGAATGAAATCCTTGCAACCCTGCATGCCATCGCAAGCAAAAACCAGATCTGGAGATCGTATATTGGCATGGGCTATTATAACTGCTCGGTGCCCCAGACCATTTTGCGGAACTTACTGGAGAATTCTGGATGGTAATGTATCATATCGCCTCACTAGAGACCAGGACTACTAGACTTGTGGTCCTTGTGTCTCAGAAATCACACACTGATACCTGCCCCCTGCTGCGCTCTAAGCTCCAGGAACCCACCTGACTTTTCTGGCTGGGAAATTCCTTACAGGGTGTTGTAATAGATTCTCATCCCTTTCATTTCCACAAGTCCAGGTCTGATGATCTCTTCCTGAATCTCTATACTGCTTTTGGGCCAGGCGTCATTCCTCTTTGGTGAGACCCTGGGGCATTTTAGACTGTGTCTGAATTTAGTTGCTCAGTATTACAGCCTGGGAAAGAATCTTGGGCTTTTGTCTTTGGCCAGGATTTTCAAAGGACCCTACTCATGTTCCCCTTCTCCCCACATTTCTTGGTCCATAACCAATAGAAATGAAGTGACGTAGTGTCCGAAGAACGGAGACAGTAACGTCAGCTTTATTGGCACCACTTACTGAGAAAGGGAACGGATGTCTGTGGACAGGTCTGCGCTTGCGCAGCCAGCTTCCTCTTCTCATCTCACCTTGCCAATCAGATAATTTGCTCCTCCCCCGGGAGTTAGGTATGTCAGAAGACGACCTTCAGGAGTTAGCTCTCTTCTACCAAGGGGTCTGGGGATGGAACTGGTGTGGCCAAGTCTGTCTGACCATCCTGCTGGTTTTGTCCCATCTTTACAGGAACCAGGTCTGCTGGCATCCTCTTGCCTGGACTCCACCCCAGTGTGGAGATTTTCACGGCAATATACTCTGCTTCCTTACTAATAAGAGCACAGGAAAGCAGGCCCATCCAGAGAGCGAGCGCTTCAGTTTTTCAGCGCATGAATGTGCTTTGCTCGTGTGTTTGCATTGCTGAGGGCTTGTTTTTCACTGTGGCTCTGGTAAAAGTTTACATGGTAAACTCGAAGGGTGATTTCAAAAGCAAATAGCCTTTCTCTCTTTCTCCTTAGAAATCAAAGTCTGCTGCTGCCTGTGAATGGACTGCAGCATTCTCTGCCTGAGCTCTGGCCTTTGCTTTTAGTGACCATACAGAATATCTGCCATATTTCTCTCTGGCTGTGAGCTAGTATGCTAATTAATTTGGGGGTAGCCAGTGTTGTGAGAGGGAGACAATACTCTGTTTTTCCGTCTCTGGCTTTGGGCGCATTTTAAATATTGCTGCTTTGCATTACCCAAAAGCTGGTCTGCACCCTAGAGGGATACTGCACCCTGCCATGCTGATAGGGAGGGCTGTGAGCACGTGGGTGGTAGACTTCACATTATACTTCTGAATGGTTTCCATAGCGATGGAACCAACAAATTCCGGTGACGTGAGGTGAAAATAAATGGGTCACATAGACTCGAAAGAATACAAACATTTGGGCTCTTAAAAGAAACTGTATGCTGGATCTAGAATTTGTTTCCTGTGGTCCACAATCCCAAAGTATCAGTTGCTGATAACATCATTAACAAATGCCAACATTTGCCTTTTCCCCGTGGCTTTCTGGTTTTTATGATCTTGGCAGTAAGATTAAAACAAGCCTTTTATGAGTATTATGAGTCCTTCTGAAAGCCCTCTACTTTTTCCCAATTCTGAAAGAAAGACATAACCAAAATGATACAGAAAATTGATTATTTTGGAATAAATGCCAATATATATCATGTTGAATATATTACCAAATAATCTATTTCAGAACAATAAGCCTTCTTAGATATGGAGATACTTTTAAAATACATATATTAAAATGCATCTAGAAAAAGAAACCATTTGGATTAATGTCAATTAAGACATACTCATGGATCACAGACACCATTTTT